CATTTTTTGAATTTCTTATATTTAGTGAATTTTTTTTAAAAAAATTCACAATTATTATACTTTTTAAGTATATTTAGAGGTAGCCGCGGTTTGGTTTTGGACGATTTGCGAATTGGTTTGGACCCGCCTGTTCATATGCGGTTTGGGAAAAATTCAACCCTCAACCGCCCACAGTACGAGTTGCGGTTTGTGCGGATAGGGTTCGTAGATATGCGGGCGGTTGCGGGCGGTTTGCAGATTGGGCTTTTTTTATTCAAAAATTTATTTTTGAGCCTTTTTTTTCCCCTTATTTTGTAAATATTTATTTTGGGTTATTTTCCTTCCATTTTCTAAAATGCTCAAACATTAATAATTAATGAATTAAAAACACAACAAAATCAATTTCTAACACAAACAAATCATTTAAAATCCTAAACTTTTAAATCAAATCATAAACTAACATAAAATGCATCTTTCAAAATCATAAACTAGATCATCAATCCCATTCACTATGTGCTACTCAACAACACAATTAAAGCAAAATCATTTAAAATCCTAAATTTATTTAAAAGTAATTCTTCATTAACTTTTACATTCATCCCAAATGCAATAATAAAATAACAATGGTCTAAGTTACAAATAAAAATAAAAAAAATCTAAGTGTGGGTAGGTTCCTACGGTGCAGGTTAAACCCGTAACCCGCCCGCAACTCGCAATCATGCCATATCCGCCCACATTTTGTTTGTAAAATTGCCCATTTATATACGAATCGGTTTCGGTTGAGCGAGTTGAGTAATTCAAATGGCCCTATGCCCAGCCCTAATATTTATGTTAGGTGATTTAAAAATTAAAAAAATTACTTAGAATATTGAAAAAATTCAATAAAATAAAAAATAAAAAATAAACTAAAAATAAAAATTTTCAATTTTTTAAAAAATAATATTAAAAAACCAAGCTTATTAGAACTAGAAAAATGATCCAGACCCCCTTTACCCCTACTCCCTTTGACCCCTTCTCTTTTTGATTGGCCAATTTTTCTTTTTCTTTTTTTCTTTTTTCCTTCTCCTCCAATCAACACCCACCACATGTGTGTAGGGGGGTGGTGGGATGGTGATTGGAGGGGATCTCAATCACATCTCGGAACTATTCGTCTTTAACTTTTCATTCCTGTTACATCCACCGAAAATTTGCACGCCCGAATTGCCCGTATGAGCTGGATGAGTTTGGGGCTGTGTTTGCCCCCCCCCCCTAGTTGCCCCCAATCACAGTGTGTTTCACGCGCAAAGATGAAATCTCTCTCTCACCGACGCCCATTGATGACGGCCAACGTTCACCACCAACGAACTCCTATTGTAGCGACCGACTGGCCCTCTCCAGCGTGGTTCATAGCACTGTTTTTCAGAGCTATAAAGCTCTAAAATGTAAAGGTATCAAGAATCAAAAGTGGGAGTCTCTATAACAGTGTTTAGAAGAGTTTCAAAAGAGGGTTTTTCGGTGCTATTATCATTGCCCCCAATCACAGTGTGTTTCACGCGCAAAGATGAAATCTCTCTCTCACCGACGCCCATTGATGACGGCCAACGTTCACCACTGACGAACTCCTATTGCAGCGACCGACTGGCCCTCTCCAGCGTGGTTCATAGCACTATTTTTCAGAGCTATAAAGCTCTAAAATGTAGAGGTATCAAGAATCAAAAGTGGGAGTCTGTATAACTGTGTTTAGAAGAGTTTCAAAAGAGGGTTTTTCGGTGCTATTATCAAAACCAATGGGATTAACTACTCATTTTTAAGAAAATACAAGACAAAAACAAATGCAATAAATTTTTAATTCTTACTTTATTCTTTCTGGATTTGATTGTATTCTTTTGGTGCTTACCAATTTGAGATTAGAACACAACCTGGTCTAAGGAGAGGATCCAGACTCGTTTTAGGCCCCGTTTGTTTTCAAAAGTAAAATGGAGAAAATTGATAGTGAGGGAATTAATAGTGAGAGGACTATTAGTGAGGGGACTACCAACGAGGGGATTAAGAAAAGAGAAAAGAGTGAGACTCCCACCACCCCCAGTGAATGCTGATTGGTCCTTCTTCTTTTTTTTGTCCTCCTCTCCTTGCCCCCCACGTGTATGTGGGGGTGGTGGGGTTCACCCCCAAGTGGGGGTCTGGATCATCTCGCTTAAGAAAAATTGTGTTTGTTTGATAACCAATAGAGTGGTAATAGTTTATGTTTGTTTTGAGAGATAGGGATGGGATTAACCATGTGAAATTCCACAAATATCATTTTTGCATTATTATCAAATTTGGACTTATACCAAGTAAAGAATAAATAAATTTTACTCCATATTATTCTTCTTCTTTTTTTATTTTTTTAAATTTTAAAAAATCCAATTATCAAAAAATATTTAGTTAATGTTATTTATTTATTTATTTATTTAATATTAATGAATCCAATAGCAAAGCAGATTTGCCACCCAAATAGTAGATTTGTACCCCATTTGATACCTCATTTGATAGAAAGCAAAGCAGTAAACATGTACCTCATTTGATAGAAAGTAAAGTAGTAAAATACTGACTACGCAACTACGGCAATTACAGAGATCTGTTCAAGCCCATTAATAGTATAATATACAAGCTACAACTGCACTAACCTCAAAAGTACAACAAAATGCAATTGTAGTTCATAAACAAAGAAACATTAAAATAACCCAATAGATAAAACAGAATTTGATGAGATGCCGACTGATAAACAGCTAAAACTTGATGGCAACGGGAACAATGCTGTAGGCAAAATCACTCCAGAAATTGGTCCAAGCATCCTCATCAAAAATTTCAAATATGAAGGTTTCCCCAAACTTAACTTGACATGGTGAGCAATATATGGAACTGGTATGTCAGCAAGACATAAGAACACTTCACCATTGTCCATCCAAGCAATTGGTTCAAGACATGAATTCTTGCCAAGCCAAGGAAACAAGTTGTTCAACATGCCATTCATTATATATTTGATATGTAACAAAGTCAATTTTGTAGAGCTTCCTCCACTCACAACTCATTGGATCAAACAAGACAAACATGGGACAATATATATATATATATATATTGTTGGACAATCTTCACTGTATTCCGAATAAATTAAGTTTGTCTACTTAACAACAAACAAAAGAAATAAAGGAAATGAGAGAGAATGTTTGATTACAAAAATCAAACCAATAAATAAAAATATATAAATAAAAACAGATTTTTATTTTGTTACAAAAACAAAATCAAAATCTGATTTAAATAAATAATAATAAAACAGAAAATAAATTAACAACTCACTTGATTAATTTCTTGAACAAACTTTTGATCAAGTCCAATGTTTAACACTATGTCCTTAAGACAGATTTGTCCTCTCCACGGTACTTTCAGATTTGCGGACGTCTATTTCCCAAAATAAAATGATCAACAATGAATAAATGCAGCACTACAATTTTAAATACGGCACTACAATTTATTCGTACAACGAACACACTTTGTGTTTATACTCTTTCTCACAAGAAAATAATGTAGTTAATGCAGCAAAATATGCAGAGAGCAAAAGCAGAATTTTGGACGAAAATTTGAGTAAGAAACCAAGTGAGGGACTTGTCTTATTTATAGATGAATTTGTGACTTTTCATTTTGAACTCAACAAGTGCAGTACCTGTTCAGACAAATGCAAAATCTATTTAGTTTGAATTAAATAGGTAAGGCTCTGTTTTGAACAGATACAATCTGTTCAGTTTGAATTTGAACAAATAACTGAATTTGTTCGGTTTCTTTGGACAGATATGGACCTGTTTGGGTGTAGAAAAAACTGGACAATTTTTTTCGGAATTAATTTTGAATTTTGGATAGATTTTATTTTACCAAAAAATAAAATAAAATTCAAATTTTTTGGCCCAAAAAAATAGGTATTGAGCCGGACAAGCCCAACCCAACCTCACACCACGCACCCGCGCCCAAGCCCAACCTGCCCGACCGGACAAACTGCAGCGACACGCTCGTGTGGTTATTTTTGGGTCTAATGGGTCTAGCCCAATTTGCCCATAACCTCTCCCTTCTACAAACTTTCGGTGCCTCTTAGGGCCCTCCCCAAGTTATAATCCTATGCCTTATAAACCCACTCAAAACTTGTCCACCAAATCAATATGGGACAAGCCTTAAACCAAACCTTTAGGAAATTTCACTAAAAACACCATTTCCGTGGAGCTCTCTTTGGCTTTAATTTCTCATTCACCCGATAATGGTTTTGAGCAACCAAATATATCACATAAATCACAATGCGGCATAGAACGCGTTACCACTTAGACCCGCCAAATTTGGCGCATGGGTCCCACCTAAAAAATAGACCAAAGTTGAGGAAAAATCTAATTTCCAAAACCATTTCCAACATATATGAAGATGTAACTCGCTAAAGAAGCAAAAAACATAATGCAGTAGTAGCAACAGCATACAATACAATATATTGTAGCCCAACACAAGTGCAACCTATAAACAAATTGCAAGTTACAAAAACCAATCTTAACCAGCCCAACACAGAAACAACATTTACTCAACAAAAAGACCATCACACTTTGGTTTGAAGCAGATAAAGTATTGCAGCAGCAGAAAATACCTAAGCTATAATATTTATGCATCACATAATATATTACAAGTCATGTGGGAAACAAAAAGACTATCATACAGTAGATACCACATTCAAATATGACCTTTCAATAGCAAAGAAACCCACTCCATCTTGTCATTCTCATCTAAACTGAAGAACAAGTCAACTTTGTCTTCATTTTTCACTATCATAGATGTTGGCATCAATTTTTGGGTATTAGTCATTGGCAACTTCAAAAGTTCTGCATTAACCAACCTCCTTTGTTGGGATAGGTCATGTAAATATCCTATCCTATCCTATGAGCAATCTCCACCATCGTAGTATTAGTATTCTCAATGAATGATCCAAGATTTTTTTGCCATCTCTTATATTCATACATGAAGAAAAGTTCTACCATGAAAACATACTATGGAAATCCACCATGAAAGGGCAAGTCTACATATCCATGATTTCCATGCAAAATTATGCACCATGTGCATCCACGATAATACCTAAGCTATAATATTTATGTATCACATAATATATTACCGAAGTCATGTGGCAAGCAAAAAGACCATTATAAAATAGATACCATATTCAAATATGACCTTCCAATAACAAAGAAACCCACTCTATCTTGTCATTCTCATCTAAACTGAAGAACAAGTCAACTTTGTCTTCATCTTTCACTATCATAGATGCTGCCATCAACCTTTAGGTAGTACTCATTGGCAACTTCAGAAGTTCTGCATTAACCAACCTCCTTTGTTGGGATAGGTCATGTGAATATCCTATCCTATGAGCAATCTCCACCATCGTAGTATTAGTATTCTCAATGAATGATCCAAGATTTTTTTGCCATCTCTGATAGTTCAGTGAGAATCCCCTCAGCAGGTCACGCCCTTTTTTCCCAATTTTAGTAGAGTCGGCACGGTTGGAAACATTACCTGCAGCAGACATTGAGTAAGCTACGCTACCCAAAATATTAAAAGCAACTGCCAATTGACTACAAGAGCTAAAACATAAAGCATTAACAAAAACCCAAACAATAAACTTAAAACTCCTAACAAAACTACAATTTTTTTAAATCATGCACTAAATCAATTCGTTTTCTGCCCAAAGAATGTCTTTATATCATATAGGCGGCACTTTGTAACAGACAACTTACCACAGTATAAACGTACAAAGCAAAAAATATGTTCTTTGGTTCCCACAGCAGCACACAACTAAACTCCACCAAGACTCAATCCCAAAATAGTAATTCCTAAGAGCATAGAACATTGTTAATAAAGAACAAGATTAACATTAAATTATGTTTGTCTCAATCACATAAGGAACTATCCAGTGAACTTTTTTATTGCAATCATGAGGGAAAGAACTTGAAAGTACTATTCACACATATATAACCAATAATGGAATTGAAGACTTTAATTCTCATAAAACTAAAAACCCATCAAAGAAATAAAAAAAATTAACCACTTCAGCCAAGGTTCGATAAATTAAATTACTACTTACATTTAATGAGAGCAAGGATTCAAAAATGAACTAATTCAAAACAAAACACCACCACACATAACCAAACCAAACCAAAGGGGAAAAAAATAAACTTGTCCAAAGATGCTTAAGAACACCTCATTAAAAACCCAAATAATAATAGAAAAGAAAAAGATGAGGAAGGAAAAGGCAACAGGCGAGCAATGGTCCAATCCACAACGTAAGGAAATACAAATTGCAAGAAAATGTGGGAAAACCTTTTTCATAAGCTATGATTTCTTATATGCATTAAAGTTCCTCATCTTTTTCACTTCCCAGAACAAACCAACCATTGACCTCAAAAACAAATATTAAAAGAAGGATATATAAGGGAGTCATATAAATAGTTATTGCGTACAGGAACTCAATTCTTTTATGAGTAGCCCACTTTCTCACCCTCGGGAACTGATTTTGTCTTAACTGGGAAGACATTTAAAGCAAACAAATAAAAACCAAACCCATGAAAAGAAATGTAAAACAAATCAACCCATTTTGGAAATATTTGAAGTTTGGGTTCCATAATTCCATTAACATTAAGAAAAATGCAATATAATTTCTAGAGCACTCATTGTAAAAAGTAGAATATGCTTCACAACACAAGCAATTGCCAAAATATATACCAGTTTCGATGCATTCTATATAGCAAATTACGAGGGATATAGCAGCATACTACTTTGTCACAAACAACCCAAAAGTTATTTTCTCTTGTTCCATCAAACAACCAATAGTTATGATACCACACTTGATTAACATTAAAAAATTTCCCATGACAAAGACTAGTAATTCCACATAATTAGATAGCTCCTTCAAGCATCACAAATCACACAACACCAAAACTCAATCCCAACATAGTAATTTCTAAAAAAACAGAGAACCCTATTAATAAAAAAAGAAACTATTTGATGGGCCAACTAAAAAAAGAACAGAGAAGCACAGAGAGAACTGCAGAGAGAGAAACAGAGACAGAGACAGAGAGAGCTAACAATGGCGAATTAGAGGCAGACAAAAATCTTTGAAGTGAAATTGAAAATACGATTTAGGTTTTTCGGAGGATTAAGATGTGTTGTAGCGGACGAATGACGAGCAAGCATCTCCAACAACTGTAAATTGCATTCACATCCCCAATAAGGTTTGCAATCAAAAATAATAACTTGCTTAACAAAAAAAAAAATTGCCGATGCAGAATCTAAAGATGACAGAGAGCTAGGGCACACTAAGAAGAAAAGAGAGCTTCTTTTTGCCTCTCCTTCTTGCTGCTGTTGCTTTCAAGGATGAGTAGGGTAGACTCTTCAGATCGAAAATCTGAAGAAGATGAAAGCTTCTCTTTGCCTCTCCTTCCTCCTGCTGCTGCTTCTTCCAATGATGAGCTAGGGCAACAATAGGTAAATCAGTAATCACGCTCCTAATACCAATAGACTAAATTTTCAATACCAAGTGTTGGAGCAGACTATGAAACCTGTTAGCAAGGCCTATCTTAAGCCATCCGGCTTATCAATTCGTTGTTCAAATCTACAAACAAATAGAAAATTAACTGGGCCCCACCTATATCTTAATCTCATCTTCTTCTACACCCCAAAACAAATGAGGCCTTAGAGAGATAGAAGAGAGAGAGAGAGAGAGAGAGAGAGAGAGTTCTGTTTGGGATGGGTTTGGTTTGGGCGACTGAAACGCGTGGGTCTTTTTTGAATTTGCTTCTTGTCACGTAATTCGGACATTGTGGGGTTACAGTTATTGTGTGGATCAAACATTATTATTATTTATAACAAATCAAATTAGAAAAATTATACTGGTACTATTTATATTTTGTCCTTCTATCATTTTAGTTCATATATTTTTAATTAATTTAATTTTGATTTTTAATTTTAAATTTTGTATCAATTTAGTCTAATTGATAACACCATGAGAGTTTTTAACTAAAAATGATTACTAAATTGATTAAAATTAACTCACAGTAAATTTATAATTTGCCACTAAAAGCATAACACATACAACTTATGCGTGTGGTTTTTCATTAAAAATTTGCTAACAAATAAAATCAATTGAATCAAATTAAGATAAAATCATAAATTTAAAATCAAAATTGAGCTAATAAAAATTATAAGAACAAAAATAACACAAAGATAAAAGTACAAGAAATAACAATATAATTTATCTAATCAAATTCTATATTTTTAATTTTTTCAATTTAAACTCTAATATTTCGAATTAAATAATTTAGTCAATTTTCTCTCTTTCACTTCCATTCCCTCTACATGTACATACGTAGAAATACACACCAAAAAAACAAAAAATGAAAATCCATAGGCTTAGAACACTTGGTCATTGAAACTATGAGTGCTGGATGCACTACAACATTTTCTTAGTTTAGTGACATTTGAAAGTGCCACAAAACAGTAGTGATACATCTCCTAAAAATAGAGTTCTAAACCGAACTCTATATACTTGTCTATAAAAAAGAAAGAAGGGTAAATTACAAACACACCCTTTGAGATTTATTTAAATTATAAATTACCCTCTGTGGTTTTAAAAATTACATTATACCCCCTAAAGTTTCTAATTTCATAACAAATAGATTCTTTTATTAATAAATATCAAGTTAATTAACATTTTTTAATAACGTTAAAATTTTATTTCAATTAATAATTCAAATAATTTTATTATTGTATAGGTGAACAGTTAGAAATTTCACTTTTTCAATTAATTCTGTTAAATAAAAAATTTTGACGGTGAGGTATTTGTAATTTTTCAAATCACAGGAAACAATTCATATTTTAAGTAAACTGAGGTGTATTTGTAATTTACCCAAAAAAAAAGATACAAACACCACTATCACTGTGGAGCCCACACCATTAGAGCTCCTAAACATTATTCATGTAAAAAGACAAGTTGTAGGCAATGTAAGGAATCAATTTGCAAAGGGGACTTGCCCAAAGGAAACACTATTATTATTTTTTTATAATTCGGTATTCAGCTCATTTTATGCGCATCTTGATTTATCTAAAGGAAACACTATGATATTTATCATTTCAAAGAGTGTATATCATATGCACATGTTACGTAATTTAGTGATAAATGTTGCATATTTTTTTTTTAAAAATGATGATTTTATCCCTGGTCCACTTGCGATGTTACTTCGACTCTTGTCACTTCCAAAATTCTAAACTTGAGGAGACTCCAACCATAGGAGTTTTGCCCTTAGACCACTTGCGGTGCCACTTGGCCTCTTGACTTTCAAAGCTTTGAAATTTAGGAAAGGTGTAAAAAGAAAATGAGTGTAAGGAGTTGATTTGGTGCCTTACAAGAATATGCACTTTTAGCGATTACTTTCTGCGACCAATATAAAAGTTGGTAACTAAAAGTTACCTTTTGGTAACCAAATATTAATTAGTCGCGAATGGTCATTATTTTTGGCGACCAAATATGAGTTGGTCACAAAATGTCATATTTTGGCGACTAAAAAATGAGTTGGTCGCAGAAAGCGGCATGCTTTTGGCGACCAACTACAAATTTGGTCGCGGAAGGTCACATTTTGACAACCAAAAAATAAGTTGGTCACGGAAGATCAAAAATAAGTTGGTCGTGGAATTGGCGACCAAAATTTTAATCGCTAAAAATTTATTTTCCCCGACCAAAAATATTTTAGTTGCCGTATATTGAGTTTTGGCTACTAAAATAATTTAGTCGCTGAATGGAAAATAATTTTTTTTTTTTTTTGGCGACCAAAAATGGAGTCACCAAAAACTTATTTTCAGCAACCAAAAAAAATTAGTCGCCAAATTAGTATTTTTAGCAACTAATATTTTAGTCATCGTTGATTGAGATTTGGCGACTAAAAAAGTTTGTCGGCGATGGTACCTTTTCTGCGACTAATCTGGTCTTTTGGTCGCCAAAAGTTTGGGAGGAAAATTTGAAACGTGGATGCAGGAATTGAAATTTTTTTGCGACAAAAAAATTTGGTCGCCGTAAAACGACATCATTTTGTACTAAGAAAACAGAAAAAAAAAATTAAAAAAAAAACCCTAAACTCTCATTTGTCTCTAACTCGCTCTCTGTGTCTCTCTACGTTGGTCCTAATTTCTTAAAATTTTATTTTCATACCTAATATTCTCACATCCTTATTCTAATAAACAAGGAGCATCGTTCAAACAAAAAAAAAATGGCCCTAATTTCATTCTCACTTGCCCTAACCCTAGTTCTCTCATCACTCATTCTCTTTCTCCCAGTGGGGCCGCAGATGACAACACCTGTGTGGGCAGAACTCCCTGCGGCGTCCAGGTAACCATCCTCCTCTCTTCTCTCTCCCTCTCTCGCTCTCTCCGTCTCTCCCTCTATAAAAATACTGATGTATAATTATTGATTGTATTGTTGTATATTTACAATGTTTACAATTCCTATATATAGAAGAGTGGGTGGTAGTAGGTGTAGGTGGTAGGGGGTGAAGTGGAGGTGGTAGGTGGATTAGTTCCATAATAGCAACATGTTTTTCTATAATAACGACATACTGTTCTAGAATTTAAACAACCATAAGAAAACTGGTTTCACCATAAGTATTTAGACTATTGCAAATTAAAACTTAAAACTAACAAACAAAAGTAATAAAAGAAGATATTATACGGTTTTAGGTTTGAGTTTAGATTTTACATAGAATAAGAAAAGATACTATGGGGGAGGATGTATAATAAAAATATAGACTATTTGTATACGGTCCGGATCGGTTCCAATCCGGAACCGTGGGATTCAATCCGGAACCAATCCGTGAACTACGGATTTTTAATTATTCAATCCGGAACCGAACCACGGATTCAAAAAACCAATCCAAACCTATCGGATTGGACTGGACTGGATCGGATTACGGATTTCACGGATTCCTTGCTCAGCCCTATCACTCATTCTCTTTCTCCCAGTGGGGCCGCAGATGACAACACCTGTGTGGGCAGAACTCCCTGCGGCGTCCAGGTAACCATCCTCCTCTCTTCTCTCTCCCTCTCCCGCTCTCTCCGTCTCTCCCTCAATCTCCAGCTTTCGTGCGACTCTACCCTGTTATTACCGCAGCTCTCCCTCTCCATCTTGGTGCGGCTCATCTCCCATTACCGCTGGTGAGAGCTCTCCCTCTCATCTTCCGGATGTCCACACACCGCCGCTTTACCGACCCCACTTTTTGGCCGCCACTGCAAAGCTACATTCCAATGCTACTCCTCTTCATCTACTGGTACAACTCTTCACTTGTATATAGCATAGATTTATAGATTTGCAGTTTCTTGTAGGATAAAGATGCGGAAAAAAAAAGGCATTCATATGTGTATTATTTGTTCGGATTTATGCCGAATCAACATATTTGATTTTCAGTTAATGAGAATTTATTGCCAATGGTTTCAATTGCAACACAAGCCTACATACTTATTTAAATGCCATGGAAGTTTTTGTTTTTGATTGCCAAGCTTAATTGCTTTAGGAGTTGGAATTGTATTATTTAAAGTTTGCTTCTGTATATATATGTATATATGTATGTAGGTGAGGCTGGAACATGAAGAGTGCTACTGTAATTATTATAAAAATGTTTGATGGCTTTTATTTTGAATAAGTGGCATGTTGATGGTCAGTGAGATTTTGCAGATCTGGTTTATTTGACACTATTTAGTATCAAATGCAAATGAGGATAAGGAAGTCTGTGTAACCAAAAGACCAAAAGTTAGTTGGGAATGATAATTGTTACAGTTTTACTATATTGTTAATTAGAATGTGGTTAGCAGTTGTTAGGTTAGGTTAGGTTAGTTTAGTTAGGATACAACTGATGTATATATATTCTGTTACATTCAAAAAATGAAGACATAAACTTCTATAACTACTGCTGAGATTTCATTTGTGAATACCTGTTAGTGAAAACCTTGCTTTGTGCTTTTGAAAATGCAGAACATGTGTCATTTATCAAAGATGTAGCTGCAACTCAACAACCGGAGCATTTGCCTCATCGTTTGAAAATGCTTCAGGTGAGAAGTAAGGTGTTGAATGAACTCTCAACTGCTTAAATTGTGAAGTGGAATCATTGCATTGGACATGTTTCGAAATGAAGATATTTTTATTTTAAATATTTAAAAACGCATCGCAATACAACCTAGAAAGCAATTGATATACTTTGATTCCTCAACTCAATGTTATAAATGATGAAATTTTATGATGATGAAATTTCCATAAAGATATAAGTTGAGTACGTAGTTGTTGAGATGTAATCATGAATGCTTTTTGAAAGCAAAATTATACAAGTATCTAATAGAAAGTTCTTAACCACTTATGCATCCAATTGCAGCCATACTTTGCACAGTTCTTATTACTTGTATTAGCTTTGCTTTAAATAAGAGGATGTGCCTGAGGCAGTAGACTATTTAGATAAAATAGAAGAGGGGGCCCACTGTTTATGTTTGACCTCAGAAAAAGGTTAACATTACCCTTTCAATGAATATCCTTTTTTTTTTTTTTGTGGCTGGTTCTGCAGTTATTTATTCATGGTCAGCATCCAACATCAAAGCTTCCAATTTCTACTTGATCATTTTGTAATATGCTATAGTCTATGGTGTTATTCTTTGGCTTTCAGTTTGAACTCGTTAAAGTGATGTGAGACTGTTAGAATATAATAGCAATACTTCTAATTCTATACTCCATCATATAATTAATGTTAAAACATGTTGTCTTAATGCATAAAATTTATGTTTCATTTCTTCTGTTTCACTTTTTACTTGCCTTTGCTTCACCTGTTGATTATTTTTTCCTTTTTCAAAATAAATTTATCCTTTTCATTCATTGCAGGTTGAGAATCTTGTTGAAAGAATGGTAAAATGGTTGAAGGTTGGTGGATTTATATTCTTCAGAGAATCATGTTTCCATCAATCTGGAGATTGTAAGCGAAAGAACAACCTAACCCATTACCGGGAGCCTAGATATTATACAAAGGTTTCTACTTTATAACAAACCTTTTGTCTTGATATATGCTACTTTCAGGTTTGTCATAGTAAATTTGTTACTGTCAGGTTCTGGTGCTAGCCCAAATGCAGCTGTTGCTGCTCAGTTTGTGAGAGCTGAAATGCTTCCAAGTGGCTATTTTATTCGGGCATGCAAAGGTGGAGGGTAATTGTCGATAAAGTTGATATGTTAGTTTGGATCAGCTACCAAGCAAGTTGATATGTTAAATCATTAAAGAAGGCGAAAGGCTTCAAGTTTTGTGTCATGTTAGACTTCGAAGAGGATATAGCTTTTGAGAAGACATGCTTACTAAATTCAATTTGACTTGAATATGCCCTGTGATGCACTAGAGTTACATATTTTCATCTTTATTTTAAATGGAATTTAATTATTGTTTGATGATTTAGTTAAGTTATAAGAAAGGAAATTTTTTAATTATTGTTCCTAAGTTTTTTCTTTTTTAAATGTTATTGTTCCTTAATTGTGGTTGGGTTGAATAATTTTTGTTCGATATTGGATTGAAAGTTTATAAACAAAAATTGATTGTTCTAAAAAAAAAAAAAAAAAATTTGAAACTAAAAAAATGGTTAACAAATTCTACACTTTTGCGACTAAAATCATTGGTTGGCAATTCCTTACCTTTTGGTGACTAAATTGTTAGTCGGCGATTCCTCGACTTTTGGCAACTAAGTTGTTTGGTCGTGGAATGTGACAATTGGTGATTAAGATATTTGGTCGGGAAAATATCACTTTTCGCGATCAAAGTGTTTTACCGACAAAATGGATTAGTCGCAGTAATGATATATTTAACGACCAAAAATTTAGTTGGCAAATCCAACATTTCCCGACCAACAAAAATTTTGGTCGCGAATTACTTTTGTCTATCCTCAATTGGCGACTAAAGTAGGGACCAAAAAAATTGGTCGCGGATAACTTTTGCCGACTAAAAATAGGCTTTTAGCGACAAATTTTTTGGTCGACAAAGGTATTATTTCTTATAGTGGTGGTATAAAAAGAATTACCCTTTACATATTTATATATATAGTGCACTTCTTAATTCTCAAAAAACAAGACCAGAAACTTACCCATGCCATGCGTGGCTTGGATCTAATTCTCATATGGAGTGGGATTCAACTCAATCATTGAAATTTTTTTTGGCATGGATATTTTTCTGAATAAATTGCAACGTGGAAGCCCAAGCAAGTCATGAAATTGCATTGATTAACATTGCCCTTCAATGTCTCCAAGAAATGGCGTAGAAGACAAACGTACAAATACCTATTACTAGGGGCTTTTGCGGTTCGGTTGTTGCCGAAGAATCTGTAATTCACCATCCATTCTGTTGGAATGACAGATGCAGGCAGATAAATGCGAATCGGTTTGGCGGTTTAAAATTTTACAAATTTTGAACATAATTTAACTTGTCAACATTTTTTTTTATTTTTTTTATAACAAACCAATTCAACATAACTAAAAGATTATCAAGTAAATTGTCAAATACCAATAATAAATACATATAAGAACATCATGCATTATTAAAACCATTTCATTACTTTTTTTTATTAAAAAATTATTTAATTTGATTTTTTTTAAAAATGACAAAATTAAGCTTTATACTTTCCACACAAAAATACCAACTATCAACATTTGTCATTTGATAAAAAGATTTTTAAATTGAAAACACAATAGAATATCTAAATTTTGTTTCAATTGAAAATACAAACAAAATATCTAAACAAATTGAAAATACAAAGTCTTACAAATTATTAAGGGTGCTCACTGTTTGGCGGTTCGGTTGCGGCCAAAGAAATTTGAAATCCGCCATCCGTCTAAAACTAAGCGGATTGAAAAAAATCAATCCGCAACCGTCTGTTTGTCATCACATATCCATCCAAAATGCAACAGATAGGTTTGATTTGGTCAATTTGGACAAATCAAAATATCTACTGCTCAGCCCTACCTATTACTTTGATTTTGTTCATACACACAGAGAGTGAAAGTAATATCAGTTTATGATTGATAGAAAAGGAAAATTATATTCATATATAAAAGTCATACAAAAAATTTTAGAAAAATAATGTGACAATATCATTATTATAAATAAATACATCTGTAATAATATTTTGTTTTGAAGTGAATGGTCCATAATAAGTTACATCATTATATACAAAAATTGTGCATGAATTTTTTATTTGTATAGGATTACTCTAATATAATAAGATTTGTACATTTAAGTGGGGTCATTGCACATTTTGGATAAAGAATCTACTATTTTACACCAATCACTGTATATGTAATGTTCACCTACTCTAAAAATGTGTGAAGAAATTCCTTCTACGTAACTACTCATCTACCCATGGCCAAATTAAAAGACTTCTCTTTTTTTTAAAACTCAATTAAAAGACTCAAGTCGATCACAATTGAATTGGTAACACACATATATGAATAATGTGAGATCCTATAAACCAATGCAATGATACATAATAGAATATTATGATCATAGCATAACCTCAAGGGTAGGACTGGATATAAGGTTATTCGACCCGTGAAAACTGTTCAATGTGAACTGTCCGCGCATATTTGGGCAGCTTTGCAAAATTGTTAGGGTCGGATGCGATTTAAAATTTTCCTATTTTGCGAATTGCGAACGGATCGCGAGTTTTACTTGCACTCGCACTCACCCGTCCACATTTGTATATAATTTTTTTTTATTTTTTTAATTTAATCTGGACTATCAGATTTTATTGTTAGGGTCGGATGCGATTTAAAATTTTCCTATTTTGCGAATTGCGAACGGATCGCGAGTTTTACTTGCACTCGCACTCACCCGTCCACATTTGTATATAATTTTTTTTTTATTTTTTTAATTTAATCTGGACTATCAGATTTTCTTATAAGTTTTGTAAGTGTGTAATCATAATCTTCTCTTCTCTCACTCACTTTAATCTAATTATCAAACCTGTAGGCTCTAACATTATAACATTATAATAATATCACACACTATATTATTTGAAATACTTATTATTCAATTGGAATTTTTTCAATTTTTTACAAATCTAGTTATGTGATTTTTTTTTCTATATTAGTTTTTATTCAATTTTCATTCTATTTTTTTGTAATCCAGTTGTAATGGAAGATAGTGTTAAATCTCCCGCAATCAAAAATATTTTTAAAATGGAAACAAATAAGTCAAAAAATAAATTTTTAAAGGAAAAAGCTCAATCCGCACATTCACGAACCCTATCTGCACAAACTGCAACTCTCATTGCGAGCAGTTACGAGTTCCATTTTCTCAAACCGCAAACATGTGAAAGGGTCCAAACCGCAAACCGAACCGTTAAAAACCGATCTGCCAGCACTCCTACTCAAGGGGGTGGTATGGTGGTTAAGGTCAGATCTGAGAGTACATTCTCTCTAAAATCAAGTTCAAAATCTCTGAAGTATAAATAATTTTTTGAAGTTGGTCCATAAGAAACCTTACCCTACTTTAATTGGACCCCCACCTAATGAATAGTAGAATTGATTTTTCAAATTAATCGTTGAAATGAACCAAATACTAAATTATTTTAAAAAAATATGATCATAGCATTATTGATAAAATAGTTGAGTTTTTCCTCAAGTTCACATGTGCACTCAAGGGGCTAAAATAAAATTGATTAACAAATTATTATTAACTTAAAATTATTTTATAAAATTTTGTGCTAGGTTTAAAGAAGGAATAGAGAGAGATGGAGAGTGGAGGATGGAAGCCGGTGGTGAAACAAAGAAACAGAGTGATTGGAAGGCTGTATGGAGATAGAGCAAGACTAATCACTGTTTTTGTGGATAACTTACCAGAATCCATTGATCCAAAAGGCCTATTTACTTTGTCCAATAAGTTTGGAGTTGTAAAGGATGTCTTTATTCCAAACAAAAGGAGAAGGGTATCCAATACAGGGTTTGGCTTTGTGAGGTATGACTACACAGTGGCTGCTACTGTGGCAGTTCAAAAAGCAAATGGGCTGTGGGTGGATGACAGAGCACTAAAAGTTAAGCTGATTTCAATAGTGATCAACGCAGAGTGGTGAAACAGACTACTCTTGGAGCTTCGAACACGTCCAAACAGAAGGTTGCTTTTAAGGGTGGAAATGTACAAAATAACAGAGGAGTTAGGAAAACGTTTGTAGAAGCTCTTATTGGCAAAAGTGAGGTGGGTCAATCAAGGCTATTGGTAAAAGCCCGGGAGGTGGGGAACGGATGGCTGTATAGGAGTGTGATAATTAGATTACATCATCATGTAACGAAGGCAGAATTCAAACAAGAATCTCGTCATAGGGGATTGAGGAAAGGAAGAATCAGAGATGGGGGAGGTAGGGATACTATTATCACTTTCGGCTCAACAGAGAAGAAAGCTGAGGGAGTGAGACTAATGCAAGGATGGTTAAATGAGTGGGGTGATTTCGTTTTGAATTGGAAAGCTGGTATGCATATTGAGCAAGAGAGATCTACTTAGGTCTCATGTTATGGAGTTTCATTGAATCTGTGGAGTGCAGAAACATTTACTTCTATTGGAAGATTATGGGGAAGGTGGTTGGGTTGGATGAAGATATTGGTGACCCGTTGTCGTTCGTCTGCAGCAAGGTTCGGATTGTCACGAAATGCATGGAGGCTATAAATGTAGTTATCAATCTGGAATCCAGTAGTGGTGTGTACCCAGTTAGAATTTGTGAAGAGCAAATGGTATTTTCCAGATGCATGAATCTGGATAGCCATTGTTCTTATGGGTTGCACGGCTCCGGTGGGAATAGTGATGGTGTATCAGTATTCGACCATAGCAGGGATGAAGGAGGAGTTGAGGTGGCACCACATCTGGAGTTCGTAGTGGACAAACAATATGATGCGGACAAGGCTTCAAGAGATAATCTAAGCGACATGGAAATTGGTGGCAGTGATAGCTGGCACAATGTATCGATGGTGGCTGAGACTGTAGAAAGCTTTGGTAATTCAAAAGAAGCCTTCGATAAGATGGTTACATCAAAAACAACATCTGCAAACAGGTGTAATGATGATATAGGTGTAAGGCTCGATGGGCAACTTGATGGGCACGTGATCTAGAGCACTAAATTGGGAGCTCTAGAGCATCACTATTGATATGGCACAGTGGCCCCCACCAAAGTGATGTGATGTTTTGGCTTGAGTTTGTTTTTTTTTTTTTTTTAAACTCATTAGAGCTATTAGTGGTCCAAAAATTAGTAGGATGAATCACCACTCCAGCTGGATTTATGAAGAGCCTTAGTGGAACGGACAGGAGTTGGCCAAAAGTCTATTTAGAGGTGCGCTCTATTTATAGGTGCGCTTTTCTCAGGCCCATTTGGGAGAGTTTGTGCTTGGTGGGCCGGTAGGGCCATGTTCCAGTCAGGGCAATGGTCTTGGACTAGTGGGCCAGAATTTTAGTCATACAAAG